TACGCACGCTTAGGGTAGGTGTGAGGGGGTCGAACCCGGAGCTGGCCGAAGCAAAAGAAACTCCAGTCATCAACTCCTCCAAGTTTAGATTTGGATCCAAATAAGGTGGTACATACTCTTTGATCCCTATGTATGAAGCTGTTTACAAAATAAACACACAAAGATTTAATTTTATTGAATAAAAAAATTAGATTTAAAAAAAAAAAAAAAAAGTTAATTGTTAGTTTGTTACCTATAAAATCAGTGACAAGGCGGCCATTTGTAAACCTTCCTGTGGGAATATGGTTGCTGAAATCCATTCCATAAGGTGGAAAATTGCTTTTAAAAGGAGTTTCCAAATAATTATTGTTGCCAGAATCAACAGTTGAATCTCCGAACACAAAAATTGCCGAAATCGAATTATTGAATGGGCTAATTTTCTTGTTGAAGCTTCCACCTTCAGCATGAAGAATGATAAGTAGAGATAGAGGCAGAAATAGCCTGAATAAAGACCACATATTTGCTACACAAACTGTGACTCTTAAAGAATACATAATGCGTACAAGTTCTTGTATTTATATCTTGATATTTTACATAAAATAAAAATTTCAAAATGCAGAATTATTTAAGAAACTAAAAAATTATTGTTTAACGTCAGCATTAATTCATGTTTTATTTTTAATCATAAAAAATGAAATGGTATATCTTTAATTGATCATGTAAATGAAATGAAGATATGAATGCATGAATTATATAAAAATATTTATAATAGAAAATGAAGAATTATTAAATATAATTGGAGTTTTCGACTTTCGTTTTTCATGCATTTGATATAATTCTTGAATATTTTTATTGGTCAAAAAGGGTATAATTTTTCGTATAGTGGAGCTTTGAACTCCGCCTAACGTACAAATTAGCATGCATGCAAATGATTTGAATCTTGTACGAGAAATTCATGCATCGATACTTTCCAAGTTTATGTTGTAATCAACCAGGGACGGAGCTAAGATTGTAAAGATGGCAGATGAAGGGCCACGATGAAGACACATTTTACCATCCTGTAAAAATGCCCCAACTTAAAAGAGTTGTGCTTTCGGTAGTATAACTTTTACCAAATTTTGAGAGCACATTATTGATCACAAGTTCGAGCCTCATTAACTTTTTGTAACAAACAAAATATAAAAATGAGCATTGATGTGTGTATAGAAACTGCACACATAGAAACACTACAGAATAGACACAACACTAGGGGGTGGGTGATTTTTTGACATTTTTTATCACAACATGGGATCTGCACAATATGAGATTTCTGGTGTATTTTTATGAAACAATTTTTTACACAAATGGAATTGCTCTATAAAAATATAACATGTGATTGAGACCAAATTGATTTGCCAAAAGAGGTTGTGGTTCTAGAGGATTATACAACTCATATGATAATGACCCTTCTTACCACATGTAATCATTAATAATCGTGACTCTTTTCGAAAATATTTCAATTGTCTTTAAATCCCTAGACAAATAAGTTAAAATCACTAATTAATTTTAATCACATATTTTACGAGACTCATAATTTTTATCAATTTTTCAATCGAACATTTCATCAACTTTTATCAAAATCTACTAAAAATCTCATCATTTAGTCAAATCAAATAGGGGCTTGGATTTTAAGTGAAATATGGTAAGTTAATTAGTATTTTTGTATTATATTAATAAATAACATCAATAATACTTTCAAGTAATAAACAAATAAAAATTAACTAAAAACAAAAAACAAAGAGCATTAATTAGTCAAGAAACAATGAATGGCATTGGAGAGGAATTAGATGATGACTTAATTATTAGTGTAAAGAGGCCCATATATTAATGATAATGGGGCATCGCTATCCGTCTGAACCCATAAACATATGGGTCATTGAATTGGATCGGGTGGTTGGATCGGGTGCAACGTATGTGTGTTGTAGACCATATTCATAAACATGAAAATGACTTGTAATTAATCTCTTCTGATCGTCTTTTTTATAATAGGATACTGAACGGAGAAATTTAATTATTTATGTGCACAAATTCAAGTGGATTAAAGTTAGAAAAATTTGCAGTGAAGACATCAAAATTTTTGAAAATTTGTAATTGAGTCTTAAATCTTGTAATTTTAGTGCCCCATATCCCGAACTTTTAATAAATATGTGGCCAAAGGAACTCTGACCTTTTTCGTTCAAAAATAGTTAGCTGATTAAAAGTTAAGCGTCTGACCTTAATCTAACCAATTTTAATGAAGAGTAAAATGATCTTTTAGCATTTAAACAATTAAATATTAGAAAAGAAAATTGAAAAAGAGAAAAATTCATCTTCCCTAGTCAACCTCACCCACTCCCGTCCCATAACAAGCACAAGCACAACCACCACCGATCGGTAGCAAAGAAATCCTTCGTGTTGGTACCCTAACTAGGGGATTTATCTCTCTAGTTTAGAGATGCAAACCCACAGGTCTGGGTCGTGAAATTGAAGGGTTTGGATCATGAAACCAGGGAAAGAAATCTATCACGTTAGTGGTGACCGTTGTTGTACGATGGGTTGGGTGGATATGAGAAGATGGTTTTTTTTTTTAATTAATTTTTTTTTTATTTTAGTTATTTTCTTATTTGTTTTTGTTTCGATAAAAATTATAATATGATATAAATGAATGGTGGTTTTTAGTTGTGGTTTTTATGAAACATGAGTTAAAATTAAAGTTGGATTTCTAAAAGTAAATTACAATTTACATTTTCAGTTTTCCAGCATATCTAATTGTTTTAATTATTTAAATGTTAAGAGACCACCTTGTCTTTTAATAAATTGGCATATTCAGAATAGATGTTAGATTTTTGGTCAACTGATAATATTTATGGATGCAAATTGTCTCGAGGTTCTTTGGCTGTACACAGTTATTAAAACTTTGAAACCTATAAATTTTGGGCATCTTCTACGTATTTCACCTAGAATTTTTACCAATTCTCGTTGTCTATGTCGGTTAGGGTGGTTATTTTCACAATTGAGATTAGAAGAATGCTGCTCTATCAGATTGAGGTTCACAAGCCTTATACAAGCTCCTCACAATGAGGTGGGCCCCAGGTCGGACCCACTTGTCATAAAAAATTGCAAAAATATTGACCCCATTTGCTTTTGTGAGTTGCCTGTAAGACCCCTTGACAGTGCAGCAACAATTTAAGGATTGATACCTTCACACACATTCTTAGAGGTCATTCAGACTCAATAAGCGAAATCGTATAATGTCTGAGATCAATTAGAAGACTTATTCAAGCATGGTGAAAAACCTTTTAAAAACTTCAAATTTATTTGCCATTTTATTTTTGTCTCTAAAATTGAAGTTCCTCGATAAATTTTATGTGATTTAACTAATAATAAAATAAATTTACCCACTATTATTTGAATTTAAAGCTCAACGAAAATGAGAATACTTTAGAATCAATCAAAACTATCCACCTTCTATTTGTGTAGGTTAAAAGCTTGTCAAAAATTTAATTCCAAGTCGATAATTAATTCTAATCACATATTTTATGGAGTTCATAACTTTTTAATCAACTATTTTATCAACTTTTAGCCCTTGTTTGAGCCTTATTTTTTAGCCAAAATACATTTTAGGATAATGTTATGTTGAAGATTGTGGTTAAAACAAATTGAGATTTACGTGTAAAATCATTTTATAGGAGAATGTGAGGATGAAAATGAGTATTGAAAAATTAGTTTTAAAAAAAAAAATGGGAGCCAAATATAAACTAAGTAAAATTTTCTAAAATTTTAATTTTTAGCTACATCAAAATAAGAGGCAGTTATGCAACTGCCAAGTAATCTACAATATATTAAAAGTGTGGATTGAGGAGAAACTTTTGAATATCGATTTTATCCTTACTTATTTAGCTATATGCCAATTCTACCCTTATATATTTAATATAGTACCATTTAATATAATTTAACTTCATTTAATATCCATTTAAGTGTAATGCTATTAATTAAATTGCAAAATATTTTTT